GTTTACTGACCTTCTTTTTCGACACTGGACCTTGCAACTGAATAATCCCCGGACGGACTGAACTAGTGAATGATATATGGACTGTTTGACTATGCTAAAACTCTTACTGGAATAAACTATTTAACTAGCACAGTGTATCTGTTTTACTGAGTGTAAGCTACAAAAACGTTTATCTCACATATTTTGCCTGCCTGCCTGACTGTCGTGCAGATTCTGCTAGGGTGTATTCCTAACACAGAGTCTTATTTTCGGGGAAACTGTTAGGAATAACAAGGATACCTAACATAGTTTGGGTAAAATAATATATATAACCTATGATAGTAAGTTTAAGTGTGTGTCACTTTAAACTGCAAAGCATGTAATTTTGGGTGCAGTGTGAAACCGCCATAAGAGGGAGCAAGAGAACCTGCTAACGATTACTGACGATTGATGGATTGATGGTGTGCTAACTGCGTGTTCCCTGCTGCTGAGGGAAGAAAGGAGGTTTGACTTCTTCATATCTTCCAGTCTTGTTAAACCATTTTTTACAGATTGCCTTACATTCAGATATCTAAGATCTGTATGCTTAGATCTCGTTTTCACAGCAATATTTGTAGCCATCCGTATGGCTGCTTGATTGTCCTCATACACTACAATGGAATCATTAACAGTTATTCCCATATCTAATAACTGTTTATACAGAATTAAATCAGTACATAATAAAGATAGACATGAAAATTATGCTTCCATTGTGGACATACTTATGTGTTGCTGTCTAATTGACCTCCAAACAATCAATGCTTTTCCTAACAGTATAGCCTTTCCTGAACTTGATTTCCTAGTGTTTATTCTGTTGCAAAACTTGCATCAGCATATGCACTTATAATCAAATCATCTTTTGGCTTCAAATACAATGCATAGCGCATTGTCCGTTTAAGATACCTTAAGATATGCTTTGTCGGTTGCCAGTGTCGTTCAGTGGGGATTCAGCGTTGAATCGTGCCAATTGATTAACGCTATAGGCAATATCTGGCCTTGACCAATTACTAATATACGATAAACTACCAATTAGCAACTGATAAATAGTCTTATCGAATTTTGAACTCTGAATATCAGTGTGGCCAAATTCCTTACGCATTGGAGTTTTTGCCGGTTTACAAAGTTCCATATTATATGTTTTTAGTAATTGATAAATCTTATCCTCTTGAGATATCTTATAGCCACCTTTGGTTTTATTTATTGTCAATCCTAGGTACTGTTTTATCTCTCCTAATTGCTTTAATTTTATCCTCTTACCTAGTAATGATATTATTTCAGTAGCTTCATGATTAGTTTTTGTAATTAAAGCAATATCATCTGTAAACAACAATAACAATGACACTGTTCCATTTGTCTCTTTCTTAAATACACATGGATCAGCTAAACCTGCTTTAAACCCTATATTGTTTAATTCCTTAACAATATATTGGTTCCATTCGTAACCAGATTGTTTTAATCGATAGAGACTCTTTTTAAGCTTCCAACAGTCATTATTTGTTTTATCATCCTTAATTCCTACAGGTTTCTTTAGGTATATAGTTTGCTGCAATGGTGCATGCAGATAAGCAGTTTCTACATCTAAGTGATTTATGATATAGTTTTTCTTAGCTGCCCACACTAAAGCTGCTCTCAAGGTTGTTGCTTTTAGACTCGGTACAAATACTTCATCATAATCCCATGCAGTTTGATTAAATCCTTGAGCTACCAACCTAGCCTTATGGGTAACAGTCCCATTTTTACCTTTTAATTTAAATATCCATTTATAGCCAATGGACTTTTCACCTGGAGGTAATTTAACATTTTCATAAACTTCCATTTGTTTCAATGAATTTAGTTCCTTTTCCATCGCTCTATGCCAATTTTCTTGATCCTTTGTAGGATACATTCTAAGTTCTTCCACAGTAGTTGGAACTTTACTAACTTGGCAAACTACACTTGCTTGGTACCTGTCAGGTGGTCTGGTTTCACGTGTTGAACGTCTAGGTATTACAGGGATTACAGGTGGACTTTCATGTACTACCTGTTCCTGGTTATCTATTTCTTCCTGTTCACCTATTTCTTCTTGTTCTGGTCCTATTTGCTCTTCCTGTACTTCCTCTTTAATTGTACTCTTCTTATTACTGATATGTTGTTTTGGTCTTTTGTAGGTTTCTATGATTACATCGTTACTTGAATCTTGCTCCAGTAAACTCTAGATGTACCTTTTTCCCAGAATCTATATGATTTGTGATTAGATTCATAACCTACAAAGAATAACTTTTTAGCCCTATGCTGCCCCTTATGTCTCAGTTGTGTAGGAATATGCACCCATGCTGGTGCTCCAGATGTGTTCATGTAACTTAGGTCAGGTTTTCTACCATGCCATCATGTGAATGGTAATTCACCTGTTGTTGAGTTAACATTATTCAATATATGATTACCACACATTATTGCTTCTCCCCACAAAGTTTCAGGTAATCCTGAATCCGACAACATAGTACGAGCCATTGCCTGTATTGTTTGGCCTCGTCTTTCTATAAAGGAATTATGTTGTGGCCTATATGGTGCAGACTTTTTATGTTCCACACCTGCCATCTTCAGTCTATTTTGGAATTTATTATTTATAAATTCCATACCATTATCAGTTACAAGAGTTACTAGTTTCCTTTTAGTTTTTCTTTCTGCAAACCTCAACCAATTAAAGAAATTTTGATACGTTTCCGTTTTACTCTTCATATCTCTACTGCGAGGAGATATATTACTGGACTGATATTTGTAAGTTTACTGACCTCTTTTTCGACACTGGACTTTGCAACTGAACAATCCCCGGATGGACTGAACTAGTGAATGATATATGGACTGTTTTGACTATGCTAAAACTCTTATTGGAATAAGCTATTTAACTAGCACAGTGTATCTGTTTTACTGAGTGTAAGCTACAAAAATGTTTATCTCACATATTTTGCCTGCTGCCTGACTGCCGTGCAGATTCCTCTAGGGCGTATCCCTAACAGAAACACAGTATTAGGTAGAGAAGAGAATAAGCACTATTTTCAAACTAGAATTGTGAAAGAGAATTTGAAACAAATGTAGGTGCGGACTAAGGATGTTAGGAAGTATAGACCAGAACATCAAAGGCTCAGGATTGAAATCCTTGGTATTTGTTCTCTGAGCTTGCTCCTTTGCTCGCAAACTTTTAATTACCCAACTAGATACCATCATCAGAACACCCAGGACACCACATGAAAACTTGAAAACTCAGCATAATAATTAATTCCTCAGGAAAAGAGAGGCAGTTTGGTCTAGTGGCTAAGGCATTAGGCTAGAAACCAGGAATCGTGAGTTCTAGTCCTGCCTGAGGCATGAAAGCCGGCTGGGTGACTATAGGCCTTCTCTCTCAGCCCAACTCACCTCATAGTTTTGTTGGGAAGAAAATAGGAGGAAGAAGGAGCATTAGCTATATTTGCCGCCTTAGTTAATTATAAACATAATAATAAAGGCAGGATCAAAATGAATGTATAAAATATTCAGAACTCAGCTAGGAAAAGCACTTAGAAAAAGCTTGTTCGTTCATTTACAGCTCCAGATCTTTTAGCAGTCTAGAACATGGATTACAGGTTGCATAAATTTACAATTTTAAGAATGCTGATTCTGCAAGCCAGGCTACACTGAGAGCTTCTGCCCTGGAGACCAATCCCTTGTGTGTCTAATCACACTTGGCCAAATAAAGTACAGGTAACCCTCAACTTACAACAGTTCACTTAGGAACCATTCAAAGTTACAACATTTTTTACACTTCACAACCACTGCAGCATCCTCAGGGTCACATGATAAAAATTCAGATGCTTGGCAACCGATTCATATTAATGACAGTTCCAGTTTCCCAAGGTCACGTGATCCCCTTGTGTGGCCTTCTGATAAGCAAAGTCAACGGGGAAGCCAGACTTAACTTAACCATGTTACTAACTTAACAACTGCAGGGATTCCCTTAACAATTACGGCAAGGTAGGTCGTAAAATGGGCCTAAATTCATTTAACAAATGTCTCGCTTAACAACCTAAATTTTGGGCTCAACAGCAGATCATCAATCAAGGAGTACCTATATTCACATTCAATTTCAAATTAGTGTGGACTTCAACTCTCAGAATTGAAATCCACACATCTTAAAGCACCATTTCTCCAAGTGTTTGGTGAAGCTGAGTGTCCGTCCTTCCTTCCAGCTCCGCTCCTAAAATCTGGAGAAACAAAGCCCCCTCCCATAAAAAGGGGTAAAGATGCCTGAACTCTGACCCCGATTCCTATTTTATATTTCAATTCCATTTTGCCCAGAGCAATGCACAAGATCCTGGCACAAAGAAGACCAGAGGACAGGAAACAATGGATGGAAACTAATCAAGGAAAGAAGCAACCTGGAATTAAAGAGAAACTTCCTAACAGTGAGAAAAATTAACCAGTGGAACAGCTAGCCTCCAGAAATTGTGGGTGCTCCACCACTGGAGGGTTTTAACCAATCAGAATAGATATGGAAGGGACCTTGGAGGTCTTCTAGTCCAACCCTCTATACTATTTTGGACCAGGGGCTGTCCCCTCTCTTTAAAAAAAAAACCCCAGTTTTAAAAAATCCCAGCACCCTTTACTTCTGAAGGCAAGTTAACAACCAATTAACCTGGTTAATTGTTCTCACTGTTAAGAAGCTTCTCCTTAATTCCAGGTTGCTTGTCTCCTTGATTAGTTTAAGAAAAAGCTGGACACAGCCACTTGTCTGAAACAGTATGGGGCTCTCCTGCTTGAGCAGGGGGTCGGAGTAGACGACCTCTAAGGCCCCTTCCAGCTCTATTCTGAATTTTAAAAGATGCCCTCCGGGTCGCCAACAGCCAGGCTAAAACCCTAGGAAAATCTGCACCCCATGGTATCTCCACCCCATGGTATCCTCGCCCCCTCCCCACCCACCGCCGACCCTTCTCCCCGGCGACCCACTCCCCGAGCCCCCTGGATAAACCTACCATACTCGATCCCTCCGGATAGGAAAAGCAGCCCGATGGTGAAGCCGGTCCGTTTCTTCTTCCGTTGGGAATCCATTCATGCGCTCTCCGGGTAACAGATGCGGAGCGAGGGGTCCCGGGAGGAGCTGCAGACGGTCCTCACTCGGCCGGGCGCTTATAGGTCGGTGGATCCAAGCATCCCCGCCCGGCCACCTCGCGACGCCTCCGGCTCGTTACGCGGTGCGCACCTGGCTTGCCGGCACCTCCCTTCCGGCGGCTTTGGGAGACCTGGAGCGGGGCTGGGATGGGGCGGGCCGCGGTGGAGCCCTGTCTGAGCTGCGGCTCTGCCTCCACCCCCCTCGAGACCCCTTTCGGCCGGCCCGCAGGTCCCGGGAGCCGGGGGCTAATGGAAGATACTAAGTTGGAGGAAGGGGGGGGGGAAGACGATCTTTCCCAGGATTGACGGCTTCCGTTTCTGTTGCTTCCCGAAAAGCAAAGAGCGGAAACAACCCAAGGGACGCGCAAGCACTTGGATTACGAAAAGTTAGCTTAATTTCAAAATCTATTCCATACAGTGTGTGGTTTGCTGTATAAAATAAGTTTTGTATGAGTGTACTTGTGTATATGGATGTATACACAGTAGGTTTACCACACATACACACACAAAAATACATTTTAAATGTATTTGTGTGTGTATGTATGTATATATGTATGTGTGTGTGTATATACATACATACACACACACACAGAGGCAGTAGCTCTTTTGAATTCTACTGTATAGTGCAGTATTGGTGCAGTGTTGTGCGTTTGGTTCAATGTGTGGAGTGTGAAGGATGTGTGTTTGTGTTTATTTTCATGGTCATGATGTACACTGAAGATGGTGTTTGATTTCGTCGTAGGAAGTGCAGTGACAAAGGAAACATGTACATACATATATATACACACACACACACACACACACACACACACACACACATGCACACATACTCACATACACATTTATAGTCATAGTACATTTAGTCTGTCCTGCAAAAACAGCCTTGCAGGGGAAAACAGTATTCTTGCAAGAACCTAATACGTGTAGTCCTCAACTTATAACAATTCATTTAGTGACCATTTGAAGTTTCAACGGCACTAAAAATTGACTTACGGCCATATTTTACACTTATGACCATTGCAGCTTCCCCTTGATCACATGATCAGAAACCAGACTCTTGGCAACTGACTCATATTTATGACAGTTGCAGTGTCCCAGGCTCAGGCGGTCTCCTTTTGCGACCTTCTGACAAGCAAAGTCAGAGAGGAGCCGGGTTCACTTCACAAACTATAACCCTGTTGCTTGTATCCTTATGGTATTTATTGACTGTTTCCTAGCATGATTCGATTGCTTATTATACCCTATGACTATCATTAAATGTTGTAACCTGATGATTCTTGACTCTTCATGAATGTATCTTTCATGTACACTGAAAGCATTTGCACCAAGACAAATTCCTTGTGTGTCCAGTCACACTTGGCCAATAAAGAATTCTATTATTTCTATTCCTTATTTAAATATTTTTCAAAGCTTAGCTTCCAGCATAGCCCACCCAGTCTGACCCCAGGCATTGTATCTATAGATAACCTTCACTTAGTTCCTCTTCCTGTCCATTCTTCCACGAGCTTTGTGGAAGAGGTCCATTGCCCAACTTGCCTGGTTGTGCATGAACTTCCTTAGAGTCTTGTGCCAGTGTGGCACTACAACTCAAGATCAAGTGAGGTACTAATACCACACTATAAAGCCTTAGTGAGACCATACCTAAAATACTGCATCCAGTTTTGGTCAACACACTATAAAAAAGATGTTGAGACTCTAGAAATAGTGCAGAGAAGAACAATCAGGATGATTAGGGGACTGGAGACTAAGGCATATGAAGAACGGTTACAGGAACTGGGCCTGGCTAGTCTAGTGAAGAGAAGGACCAGGGAAGACATGATAGAAGTCTTCCAGTATTTGAGGGGCTGCCACAGTGAGGAAGGGGCCAAGCTATTTTCCAAGGCACCCGAAGGCCAGACAAGGAATAATGGATGGAAACTGAACAAGGAGAGATTCAACCTGGAAAAAAGGAGAAATTTTCTGACAGTGAGAACAATCAACCAATGGAACAGAAGTTGCCTTCAGAAGTTGTGGGAGACTTTCAAGAAGAGATTGGACTGCCATTTGTCAGAAGTGTAGGGTCTCCTGGTTGGGCGGGGGGTTGGACTGGATGACCTACAAGGTCCCTTCCAACTCTGTTAATCTGTTTAACTCCCATCATTTCCAGTCAAGGCTGCCCAGAAGAAGGTGTCCCTGCAAGAGGCAAAGCTCATTCATTTAATCTGCATTTAAAATGCACCTGGTTGGACTCTCCCCCGAGTACAAGTAGTCCTCGCCTTACAACAGTTCATTTAGTGACCGTTCAAAGTTACAACGGCACTGAAAAAAGTGGCAACGTTCACTTACAACCGTTGTAGCATCCCCACAGTCACGGGATCGAGCTTCGGATGCTTGGCAACTGGCTCATATTTCTGACAGTTGCAATGTCCAGGGGTCATCTGATCCCCTTTTGTGACCTGACGAGCAAAATCAATGGGGAAGCCAGGTTCACTTAATGACCATATGACTCACTTAACAACTGTGCCGATTTGCTTAACAAGTGTGGCAAGAAAGGTTGTAAAATGGGGCAAAATTCACTTAACAACTCCCTTGGTTGGCAACAGAAAATGCGGGGCTCGGTTGTGGTCTTAAGTGGAGGACTGCTTTGCAGCGATAAGAGACCTTTTCAACAGCAATACAGATAACCCAGCTTTTTCATCGGAGGCTTAAAAGAGGGCGGGGCAATGCCTTCTTCGAGCGCCGCGCGGCAACGTTGTGCGCGTGCGCAAGCTCAAAAGACGTCTTCATTCCTCAGTAGGCGCCGCTCTCTCTCGCTCTCTCTCTCTTTTTTTTTTCCCCCTGCCCTTTCCTCCCGGGCCTTTCTCCCGGGAACAATATGGCCGGGCCAGCTTTCAAGCCTCTGACGTCATCGTCGGGCGCCTGCCGCCGGAAGCGGAAGAGCGCGAATTTCATGCAGGCTCTTGGAGGTGCGGACTCTCCGCGTGGCGTTGTTGTTAGCGGCTCTGGCTCCTAGCAGAGGGTCGGTGTGGCCCCCGGTTCTCCCGCTCCTTGCTTAAAAGGCTCGCGCTCGGCCTGCTCTTCCTCGTCGCCATGGCGGGCATCCTCTTCGAAGACATCTTTGACGTGAAGGACATCGACCCCGAGGGCAAGAAATTCGACCGGGGTGGGGCTCAGTTGCAGTCTCCATTCGCCTTCCCCCCCTCCTTCCCCGCAACTATCCCTCCGTTGTGCTTCCGAGGCGGCCTCGGTGGTTCTCCCCCTCCCCAACAACAGCCCTGTGAGGTAGGACAGGCTTGGCGGTGCCCAGCAGCCCCAGGTCCATCACTTGAGACCTTCAAGAAGAGATTGGACGGCCATTTGTCAGAAATGCTGTAGGGTTTCCTGCTTAGGCAGGGGGTTGGACTAGATGGCCTTTTAAGATCCCTTCCAACTCTGATTATCTGCTATCTGTCCCCCGAAGGAGAGACATCTGTCTCTTGGGGTTTCGATTGGAGGCGAGCTGCTAAGCGATTATTCCAGTTCGAGGCTGCGGTTCTTTAAATTGGGAAGTGTGTTGTGGCAAAAACCACTTGGACACGACCTTTGAAATCCCCCTGGCCTGGACCCAACTCAAAAACATGACTTTTTTGGGCAAACGTATTCTGGAAAGCAGCAAACTGGACGGGGGTGGGATAACTGGCTTCGTTTGGGTAATGCAGCGTAGCGGATAGAATATTTTCTGTTTTTGGATGTGACCTGCCTCACAGGGTTGTAAGCATAAAAAAAAGAATTATTATTGATTATATAGTTTTGCCGAGTAATTTATGAAGATTGGACTGTGGCATCAAGCTGTGGGATAGGGCTGCTATGATTGCCCCTTATTTTTATTTTATTATTATTTTTAATGGTGTTTTTGGAATATTTGATTCCCACTATATATGGTTATCTTATGAAGTATAAACTTGGTTTTATTCTGATAACCCAATCACAGTTTTGGAGTATTGCATGTTTGGTAGAACAGCCATGGAGCCGTATAAATAAAATGAGTTAATATTTTAATCCATGTAGTCACACTGGGTTCCTTGGAGGAACTATTTTTTCTGCCCGAGCAGGGGTTGGACCAGAAGACCTCGAAGGTCCCTTCCATCTCTGTTATTCTATTCTATTTATTGGAATAGCTAATACCAACTTTAATGTCAACTGCCCCGTTAGCATATGCAGGAAAAGAAACTCCTGGGACATAATTTTACCAAGAATATATAATTTTACTGATCCATATAGCTACAGATGAAGGAAGGCCAATTCTAAAGGTTCCCTTTTCGATCTCCTGTCCATTATTCGCCAATCCAATGCTTTATGTTTTGTAAAACAGTCTGTGCAGTTTGAAGAGATCCCATAACATGACCTTGAAGTGAAGGAACTTTAGCAGGGCCCAGCTGGCTCCCTTGATTCCTCAGCCCCTCCCAACCCCCCCAAGTCTTCTACCCCCTCCCTTTTCTTTTTTGTCAAGCTGTGAGAAAAATTTCAGGCAGGGATAGGATCTGGATCAGCTTTCGTATTTACTCTGGACTGTAAGGGTTCCTGATCTCCTGTTTGATTCTTATGGTAGAAGAAAAGTATTACTGATGATCCCCATTCCAAGAACATGGTGCCAGTGCTCTTCCCTCAGTAAAGTTGTAATTTACTGCAGCCTTCAAATCTGGCTGTGCATAGGTGGTCAACTTGTGGTATCTGTTACCCAAATAAATGGAAATCCAAGAATGTTACTTTCAACAGTGTTGAAGAATTTTCAGCACGCTGTAGAAAACTTGGATGAAAGAGAGACTTTTCCCTAAGCCTCAGATACTTTTGGAGTGACATTTGAGCAGTAAACATCTTTCTTGAAGATGTTACCTTTCAACAACTAACATCCTGGCTTATCTTTAGTTTCCCGGCTGCACTGTGAGAGCGAGTCCTTCAAAATGGATCTGATCCTCGACGTGAATGTACAGATCTATCCAGTTGATCTTGGTGAGTACATACCTTTTGGATTGTGCAACATAAGATTTTCACAAATATATGTAGCTCAGGGTTGAACTGTCAACTCTTTCGTGCTCTCTGAGCTTGATTGCTTGCAGACATTTCATTATCCAACTAGGTAACATCATACTGATGTTACCTAGTTGGATAATGATGTACAACTAATACACTATTCAGAGTAGAGTCTATTCTTTGCTTATATACAGTAGCTTGCTTTATTATTTGTTAATAGACAGTATCCTGTTTGTGAGCCATGGTTTTCTCCTTGGTAGTTCCTTAATTAGGTATTATTTTTGCTTGATTGCTTAGTGTTAATTCCCCACTTATTTGGGAGTTGGCTGCTAAAGAGGATGTGTTTGTGTCTTTTGGTTTTCTTGTTTTTTCCCCCTTAAATGGTATGTAAAAGATAAATGATTTGTCTTGAGGGCAAACAACCAAGCAAACAACCAAGCTTAGAAAGCACCAAGGACACCTCATAATTTTTTTTGCTTATTTCTAGAAGATCAAGAACAGCATCTAGAATATTCTAGGTTTGCATAATGCATTGAATCATGAACGAAAGCTTCCCAGAATCCCTGGTAATGGAGATCAGTGGCATAAAAAAAATTAATAATCATAATAATTAATCAAAGAGACTTGACTCAATATTATAAAGCATGCCAAGCCAGACTTGGAAAACCCTGATCAAATCTAGCATGTCCATAAGTTAGTAAATAAGTGTTGTGCAAAGTAATACATTCCAGGGTTTGTCTTCCAATATTTCTTGAGATGTTTAACCTCAAGAAAGCCCTATTCTGGTCATTCATGCACAATTCTTTTCAAGTCCTAGGCTTGAATCTTGCCCAAATGTTATTAGGGACTTCGACATATCAGATTTGCACATTCCTCCTCTGAGGATTAAGTCTGGAGGGTCTGATTTGCAGACTTTTTGCCTTTTTTTTTTCCTTTTCAATTTCGTGTTTCACTTCTAATGTCTACGGTTTCTTGCATTTCAGGAGACAAATTCCGCCTTGTGATAGCCAGCACTCTGTACGAAGATGGGACATTGGATGACGGCGAATATAATCCTACAGATGATAGACCCTCCAGGTGACCGAAGGACTTTTCTGCAGAGCTAGGGTGGAGACCAGCTTAAAGAAAATGCAGTGGTTGACACAGATCAATTTTGGGGGGGCGGGGTCTCTTCATCCAAGTTTTGAGTTTTTAGATCTGGTGGAGTAATAATAAGGGACTCGTCTCCAGGTGGCTGAAGAATTCTGGGAGTTGAAGTCCACAAGTCTGAATATTGCCAAGTTTGGAGACCCCCTAACAAATATTACCTTGATTCTAGGGCAGGGGTGTCAAACTGGATTTCTTCAAGGGCTCAGGATCAGCATTGTATTCCTCCTCTGCAGGCCGGCGGTGGGGGTGGGTGGGCATGATGACCCCTGCTGGCCAAAACGGGGCGCAGGGGGTTCTGCGCGCAGCCGCCTTGTGCCTGGTTTTCGCCCTCCGCGGCTTCCTACAGCACTCTGTCAGCCGAAAACAAGCTTTGAGGCCTGCTTTTTGGCCTCTTGGTCGATTTAGGGCCCGGTTTTCAGCCTGTTTGGGGCCCAGTTTTTGGCAGGTTTCAGCCAGCGGAGTGCTGCAGGAGGCCATGGAGTAAGAAAAGGAGGTGTGGCAAGCCCGTACACGGCCCATTTTATTTGCCAGAGGCACCGCGGTCCAGGCCCTTGATATTCCCAAGTTGGCCCCAGGGGGCCTTGAGTTTGACACCCCTATTCTAGACTAGCCTACAAATAGTCTCTCTTTCCCTCCCCCACTTCAAAACTTCATGCCAATCCTGTGAGGTAGGTCAGACTGAGAAAAGTTCCGTGGCTCAGTGACTTTTATGGCTGAACTACAAAAGAACCTGAAACTCAGGTAGTCCTCAACTTACAGCAGTTCATTTAGTGACCGCTCAAAGTTACAACAGCACTGAAAAATAGTGACTTACGACCATTTTTCCACACTTAGACCATTGAAGTATCCCCACGGTCACATGATCAAAATTCAGGTGGTTGGCAACTGGTTCATATTTATGACGGTTGCAGTGTCCCTTTTGTGACCATCTGATCAATGAAATTCAAGCGGGGAATCCAGATTCACTAAACAACCACGTTACTAACAACTGATGCAGCGATTCACTTAACAACTGCGTCAAGAAAGGTGGCAAAATGGGGCAAACCTCCACAAACGTCTCACTTAGCAACATAAATGTGGGCCTCAATTGTCGTAACTTGAGGACTGCCTGCAATCCAGCCTTAAGTTTGCAGAGCCCATAGAATGATAATGTAAAAAAATTCAGGACAAAGACATTTTTGCTCCTTCACAAAGGAATATTTTGATGTTGGTAGATCACAGATGGAAGGCTTGAGTTTTGGCTCAATGCTGAATGCGCTCCTTCGGTTTTTTGGTGTTTTTGGTATTTTAATGTTATTTTCCTTTCTTTTGGCCGGCTCTTCTTATCCACAGGGCAGACCAGTTTGAATATGTGATGTATGGGAAGGTGTACAGGATCGAGGGCGATGAGACATCAACGGAAGCAGCCACACGCCTGTAAGTACCTGAAATAGGTGGAAGAGTGATTGTGACATCATACAAAGCCATAACTTGATTGGTTGAGTTCAGGCTGAATATTTAATGGTCTGGTTAAGGGTCTTATTGCTTATTTGATTGCCTTTTGCACCCTATGACTATTATTAAGCGTTGTACCTTATGATTCTTGATGAATATATCTTTTGTGTGCACTGAGACCATTTGCACCAAGACAAATTCCTTGTGTGCCCAATCACATTTGGCCAGTAAAGAATTCTATTTATCTATCTACCTACCTATCTACCTACCTATCGATCTATTTATCTGAAACAAGCCACATACAGCACAACCAATGCTCTTTAAAAGAAATGCATGCAGTTAACCCCTGCACCAACACAGAGGAAAGGAATTATAGTTTAAGTAGAAATGATTTGATTGCTTATTGTACCCTAGGCCTATCATTGTGTTGTACCTTACGATTCTTGACTCTTGACAAATGTCTCTTTTCTTTTATATATACTGAGAGCATTTGCACCAAGACAAATTCCTTGTGTGCCCAATCACACTTGGTCAATAAAGAATACTACTTTATTCCATGACACTTTGCCACAGCCAACTCGCTACAGTCAGTTCACCACGGCCAACTTGCTGTGGGACACCTCGCCACAGGATGACTAGCCGCAGGGCGAGAGTTACACTAAAGTCACAGAAATAGTTGAATAGAATCATTAATGAAAGGATGCAAAAGGAGGGACAAAATAAAATGGGAGTGGCAAAAATTAAAAATGTTTTTAAATTATTTTTAAATAAGTTAATTGAATTGTCTAGCAGTGAGTTGGCCACTGCAGGTTGACCGTGGTGAGTTGGCCTGCAGTGAGTTGTTCAATTCCATTCTCAAGGTGCATTGCATTAGACTTCCTGAGCTTAAGGGCTGTGGTGGCACAGTGATTAGAATGCAGTATTGCAGGCTACTTCTGCCGACTGCTAACAGTTCAATTCTCCCCAGGCTCAAGGTTGACCCAGCCTTCCATCTTTCCGAAGTCGATAAAATGAGATAATCCAGATTGTTGGGGACAATATGCTGACTCTATAAACCACTTAGGGCTGTAAAGCACTATGAAGTGCTATATGAGTCTCAAGTGCTATCGCTATGAGTGCCGTGTATGGTTTTTGGATGGTCCTTTTGCTTGTTGTGCTAAAGCCATAATCCTGTGATGGTGAACCTATGGCACACGAGCTGCAGGCAAACTGTGCATGCGCGTGCTTCACAGCTGATGTTTGGCTGGTTTGAGGCCTTTTTCGGCCTCCCAGAGGCTTCAGGAAGGCTTCTGCAGGCCGAAAACTAGGCCCGTTTCATCACTTCCTGTTTTTCTGGAAATACCAGAAGTAACGAAACAGGCCTAGTTTTTGGCCTGAAAAGCCTGCAGAAGCCTTCCTGAAGCCTCTGGGAGGCCAAAAAAGGCCTCAAACCAGCCGAAAATCAGCTGTGAGGCACAGTGCAGGTAAGGGGGTGGGTGGGTGGGGATTGCACGCGCGTACATAGGGGACGTGGGGGGGCGCATTGCCTTCTGGGTGCTGGCTTGCAAGCGTGAGCATCCAAGCGCGCGCACAATTTTTGCAAAGGAGCCCAAAGAGATTAGCCACCACTGCCATCAGTCATGGTTTTAAGCGGCAAACCACTTGCATTATGGCTCAGACCGGGGGGGGGGGTGTGTGTCTCCAAACTTGGCAACTTTTAAGAATTGTGGACTTCACCTCTCAGAATTCCTCAGCTAGCTATATGCTTGCTGGGGAATTCCTGGGGGTTGAAGTGTGCAAGTCTTTAACATTTCCAAGTTTGGAGACCCCCGACCCCCCGACTTAGAGCAACATGTGGCTCATCCAGTTTGGTAAAGAACATCTGCTTTCCGTGACGATGATTCTACTTTCGCATCTTCAGTTAAATAAAGGGACGGATTGCAGATAACGGGAAAGGCTGGCTTGTTTTAAGATTCTTCCCCTAGACCAAGAGGTGTCAAACTCAAAGGCCCGTGGGCCACATCTGGCCTGCAATGCGGTCAGATTCAGCCCATGGGGCCAGGCTGGTCTTAACCTGCATCATCCAGTTTACCCAATGTGAACAGGAAACAAGCCAGCAATTTGGGGAATAGCATCAAGCTGGCTACACCTGCCCAGGTGGCCATAACTCACCCAGTTGGCCATGCTACCAGCTCCTCCCCACCTACCCAGGGTCAACCACAGCCCTGATGTGGCCCTTAGTGAAATTGAGTTTTGACACCCCTGCCCTAGGCTGATACTTTCCACATTGTTGGGTCTTCCTCTCTCTTGCTTCCTAAGTAGCATGATTAGCAACTGACTTAATGTTAAGAGAGGCGACTTCTTGAGGACGCAAGGTTGAGGAACGACAATCTAAGAGGTTGCGTGGCAGAAGGACAGCCCTTTGTGATGTATCGTGAGTGCAGTGTTACTTGCCTCCTTTTTGTAGTTTTTCTCAATCTCGGTTGCTTGAAGATGTGTGGACTTCAATTCCCAGAATCCCCCGGCCAGCTTGGCAATTCTGGGAGTGGAAGTCCACACATCTTCCAAGCAGCCTGGGTTGAGAAGCACTGATCTGGCATGTGGCAGGGTGACCTATTGAGGACATCTCTCTCTCTCTCTGCAATTGCCCCATCTCTCATCCTTCTCTCTCCCCTCCTCCAGCTCTGCCTACGTCTCCTATGGTGGCCTGCTCATGAGACTCCAGGGAGATGCCAACAACTTGCACGGCTTTGAAGTGGACTCAAGGGTCTACCTCCTAATGAAGAAATTAGCCTTCTGACCAGCTTCTGTCCCCAAAAAGTTGGAGGCTCCATTAGCAGCTTGGGACATTTCAGAAAATAATACGGATCTGTTGCTTCCTCTGTTCTCCTTCGGAAGTGTTGGGAGCAAAGCTTGGCAACAAATTAGAAGCACCTGTCCTGACCTAGGCTTTCCGTACGGTATGAAGCCAACTCATCTCGATAAGTCCCTTTTATTTAGTTTGCCGTTAATTCTGCTCAAGCAAAGTCCCAGCCAACAGTATTTCGAGATATTTCACTTGCAGACCTTTATCAGTCTGGGGAGTTGCCAGGCTGATATCTTTCAGATGCCACACTGTATCAGACAATAATTAACAAGAATGCAGGAACAGACCTTCACCCAAATGAACTAATTGTCTCCTGCTAAACCCCACTCCTCTTTTATTCCCTAGGGGAGGGGACATTCACCGTCCACCTGTGGTTTTGCTCCCAAGTCGACCCTTGTTCCTTAGTTGTTCCCTTCTTCTGACATGCGCACACTGGGAACAGGCTCCAGCTGTTCTTCTGCCTCGCTGATGTCCGACTCCGAAGGCATCTGATAACTGTCAGGCGGCCCTGGCCCCCCATCTCTGCTTCCAATGCAGAGCACTTCCCCAGGCTCCAGGACTGGCCCGTTTTTTCCTCCCCAACCTCCTCACTGCCCGAATCCGCTGCCAGCTCTGGTGGGCCACAACAGCACCCTTTTGATTTTGTCTACTGTCTTAGCAGCCACGACTTGAATCATTTTTCTCCATGACATTCTCCCAGGGTCCTTTGCACTTTGGAAGTCGCTGCCAGACTACATGGCAGCATTCCTTACAAGAAGAATTGTATTTCCTGGTGCCAGAAATACTTAGGTGGTTTTGATGAGCGATTTTACTGTGCATTTTTTTTACGAAGGCAACACTGCCATTTCTGGTAAACTGGTTTCATTTTTCTCTGGTGTTTTGGTCAAAAACACAGAGCAAAAGAAGTTAGCTGCTGGGTCAAACTCCAAGAGGTAATCGTTCCTCCTTTTTTTAAAAAAAACCTCAAATAAATATTTTTATGGATTTTTATGGTTGTCTGGACTCTGTGCAGGAGGGAACTTCTGCGTCTCTTTGATTAACATGGCCAATCAATCTGGAGTGTAAAGCTTCCATCACCTCTCCCAATTTTCTGTCGATCATAGAGATGGATTCAGAAGGCAACTTGGCTGCCTTCCAGATGCTGGGGAACACTATGCCCATCAGCCACAGTTCTGTGATGCAGCAGAAAGGGATTGTGGGGGCTAGAATGGTATAGGTTATCCAATCAGGTCTTCTTGTGCTAGAGAGAGAGAGAGAGAGAGAGAGAGAGAGAGAGAGAGAGAGAGACATGTAGATAGATAGATAGATAGATAGATAGATAGAGTTATTTTTTTTAAAAACGGAATAATATTCATGTAATGAATTACATAATAACGTAATGGCAATAATCAGGTTTCATTCCTTCCTCGTAGATTTCCTGATTGATGCCTGGTTGGGATGTCAGAATTATAAGCTAGAACAACCTGTAGCTGAATTGTATTTACTTTCCATTCTGGTTTACTTACAGCTCCAAGCACAGCTTTGCAGGAGAGGAAGACAACTGGAGGAGTTTTGGATACTTTGCCCCCAAATTGCCCCAATAAACGATGATCCCCAGGGCTCTCCAAACTTGGCAATTTTAAGACATGGCTGGCTGGGGAATTCTGTGAGTTGAAGTCCACCCGTCTTAAAAGTTGCCCATTTTAGAGACCCTCTAACTTAGTCAGAAAACACTCAGCTGCTCCTTTCCTTCCCCCACACCATCCCCCTGCAACTTCTTGATATAAAGCGAGGACATCCAAGCAAACATTTTGCCGATCCTCACCTTTGGTCAGTCCCTCAAAATGGTATTGCTTAGATGTGGTTTTCATAGACAGTTTATTAAAACGGGGTCCACAGACGGGAAAGTAGATCTAGAATTTATCTGGGATAAAAGTAGCTTGCCAGGCGATGCTCTAGGTCAGTGGCCCCCAACCTTGGTGGCCCAGCAGGGTAGTGGGGAGAGAACCAGCCCACCACCGGTGCCGGTTGTGGCATGCATATACCAGCCAGCCTTTCATGCAGCCCAGTAGTGGGTTGGGGAGCCCTACCCTAGGTTTCAATTCCGGTCCTTGGAGAAAACCCCAGTATATACATACCCATTAAGAAATGGTTAAAACCTAGGTCACGGCTGCCAAAAAATAATAATAATATCTCCTTCATCCTTAATGGCTAATAAGATAACCCCCTGCCTCATGAAGAAGCTGGTTTGCACAAGAGAAGTTGTCAAGAGAAACGGGGTCACTCCACTGATTCCGACTCCGTGACCCAGAATAGATCAAGCAACGTGGGCTAAAATGCCCTCATCTTTTCCACAGAGTTTCCATAGAGTTCATTGGAGTTGCTTATTCCAGGGAAACCGGGTCAGACGAGAAAGATGCTGAAGTTTGGCCCGACTTGGCCACCTCTGTAAGCCTCGAGATTGGTTTGTGTTTTGTTTTGGGTTTTTTTGCAGGCAGCTGAAGCAAGCTGGTACTAAATGCAGAAGGCTGGGACCTCCAGCGTTAACACAACACACACACACACACCGTCTTCTTTTTCTCCCTCACCTTTTAGCACCAGCCCACCCCCCTACCCCACCCTCCATTTCTGAAGGCTTGGTCAGCCCTGTTCTTGCACCCCGGCATGCGGATGGCTTTCTTCCTCCGATAGCTGCCCTTGTAGATGTCTCTTGCCAGCCACCTGCAGGGTTCCTCGGTGCCCGCTTGACCGTGACCAAGGTGCTAAGGAGGAAAGGTGACCCCAGGTTGACGTCCCTCAGCACAGGAGTCTTTCCGGAGGTCATAGAACAAGAAGTTCAATTTTCCTTGCAAAAGCTGCACGTAGGTCCAGAAGACAGTTTTAAGGTTCCTTGTCGAAATCAGCTTGGGGACGTTTTCTGGCTGGGTAGTTACGCTTTGTTCCTAGGGCAAGAAAAAAGAAACCAGTCAGACTGCTGAGCAACCCTTCATGCGGTCGGAAGGTGCTGTCGACAGCTTTGGAGCAGCACTAGGATCCTACCTGTTCTACTACCAGTTCAGTGATCGTGCGCATGTGCACACCTAATGCACGCAGCGCAGCTTTCCGCATGCCAGCTGAGGCCTGCATTGCCAATCAGCTGAGAGGATAAAGAAAAGTGGGCCAATTCTGAGCTTTTCTTTCTCTTCAGCTGATCCTTGGAGGCTTTTTTTTTTACTACCGGTTTGGCTGAATCAGTCCGAACCATTTAGTATAACCACCACTGCTTTACAGCAAATTCTTGAAGAAAGTTAAGTTGGGCCATTGCTCTAGTAGTTTTTCAAACATGGCAACTTTAAGTTACGTGAACTTCAACTCCTAGAATTCCTCAGCCAGCATGCTAGAGTTCACAAATCTTAAAAGTAGCCATGTTTGGAAAAGGCTACAGGGAGTCCCTTTCGTTTAATACCTTGTACCCTGTAAATGCAACGGCAGCTTATGAAAAGAAAATACTGTATATTCTAAAACAGCCCAGCTTCAGGGAACTGAAAAGGTGCTTCTGATGTGAGAAAAACATTCAAGATTGGCTCAGATTCTTGTCATATCCTACGTTTATATCAAGAGCATTCACTGCCTCTCCATTATCTTTTAGTGCCAACAAACATCCACCACAACTACGGTATACTGTAGGTCCCACTCTCCATCTTCATGCTGGTGCTTTTGGCTTCGTGATTGTGGGTTTATATATATAAACCAGGGGTGGGATTCTACCAGTTCCCACGTATTTGCTAGAACCGGTTGTTAACATTCTAAGCAGTTCAGAGAACCGGTTGTTAGAAGAAATTACTGGCCTAATCCTGTAAGGAAGGCAGGAAGGAAACATTCTGGTGTTGCTTACAGAAACTGCCTCTCCATTAACCCTTATTACATTCTTGGCAGGACTAGACTTCCTGTCTCTGGAACTTCTCTGGAGTTATTTACCCCTCCTTTGCTAGTACTTTGCTTGTGTGGAGTGACCATTCAAAGTTACAATGGCACTGAAAAAGGTGACATGACCATTTTTCACACTTACGACTGTTGCAGCATTCCCCCAGTCACGAGAGGCCAGGCGAGGAGATGCTTGCCTCAATGTGAGTGATGTTGAGTTGGCCATGCCCAGACAATAACATGACCACCAAGCTGTGTCCACCCAGTCCCATGACCACCAAGCCACGCCCACCACCTAAGCCACGCCTACAGAACCAGTTGTTTAAAAAATTGAATCCCACCCTTGATATAAACTGATTAACATTTTATTATTGGTACAAAATTTACATTTTGCTTCCAATCCTAGCTGATTTTGTTCCGATGTAAACCATTCTGGCTGCGGTCAATATGTTGTACCTTTTCTGTGGCCTTCTGTCAATATTCCCAACAGGGATAATTCTGGCTTAAATTGAATGTGTTCTCCCGCCATTTGCTCCACCCATGCCTGTATCAATTTCCAATATTGTCTTGCGTGGTTACACGTCCACCACATGTGGTAAAATGTACTTGGTAAATCCTTGCACTTCTATCATTTTGGGGATTAGTTTTTGTACATTTTAGCCACCTGTAGAACATCTTACATAAATTTTCCTTATAGGCCGTCGCCATAGTTAAATTTCCTATTGTTAGTCCAGAGTTTCTGCCATTTTGCTGGTTCTGTGTTATAACCAAAGTTTTTTTGCCCAGGCCACCATTGTCTCCTTGACATGCTCTTCCTCTAATTTATATCCTAATAAGTATCTGTACAACACCCTTAATCAGTTTTTCATCGGATCTTTATTTCCTCTTGCATCTTTCTACTTGTTTCTGGATCTTGTACTTCTTGTTTCTCTTATCTCTCTCGCTCCTTTTGTCCCTTCTTTACTCTCTTGTTCGGCTTCTTTCTCTTTTCCTCTCTCCTTTAGTTATGGTTCCTTCTCTGTTCTTAACCTTATTTCCTGATTCTTTAGTTCTGATACACCTCCTCCTCCTCCTCCTCCTCTTCTTCCTCTTCTTCTTCTTCTTCTTCTTCGTACCAAAGAGCTGATTGAATGCCATTTTTCATGCATTCATCAATCACCGATGACTCCGGTGTTTTTGCTTTCCATAATTCTCTACATTCTCCCTTCCAACTCCGTTGTTATATTCTAATCTGTCCTCTAAATGAGGGGTGTCAAACTCAAGGCCCATGGCCCTCCATCGGTGCGCAAGGTGCTTAGATCTGGCCCGCGTGGCCGCCCTGGAAACAGCAAGGACCAGCCCTTAGTGCCTCTGCCAATGAAAACAGTGTTTAGGTGGGTTGCCCATGTGCCCGCGCCCTTCCGGGCTCTGTTTTGGCTGGCAGAGGGCTAGCAAAAGAAACTAAAAACAAAAGGAGAAGCGTTTCCCTTTCTGCATTTGGAGCCACCAAGATGGGACAGGAAAGGAGAAAGGGAAAGAGGAAAGGCAAAGAAAAAGAAGGGGAAATGGGAAGAGAGCAAGGAAAGGAAAAAATAAGGAAAGAGGGGAAGGAAGAAGGAAGGAAAAAGAAGAAAAGGGAAGGAAGGAAGGAAGGAAGGAAGGAAGGAAGGAAGGAAGGAAGGAAGGAAGGATAGATAGATAGATAGATAGATAGATAGATAGATAGATAGATAGATAAGATAGGATAGAATTCTAAATTGCCTTGAACAGTGCTTCATCAAAACTGAGATGAGTGAGAAGGAAGGAAGGAAGGAAGGAAGGAAGGAAGGAAGGAAGGAAGGAAGGAAGGAAGGAAGGAAGGAAGGAAGGAAGGAAGATGAGAGTGAGAAAGTAAGGGAAGTCCTGCCTTAGCAATTGGCCACCACTGGTGCCCCTTGACATGAATGGTGTAGAGCTGGCCACTCCCACCTTAAGATGCCCCCCACCCACCCCCGGAGGTCAAACACAACCCCGATGTGGCCCTCAAGGAAATCGAGTTTGACACCCCTGCTCCAAATCCATGTAGAATTATCTTTCTCAGTTGAGAGACTCCACAGGATGCTATGGTTTCTTCAATGAACTACATCTTGATGTCAAAATGATGCTATGGTTTCTTCAGAGACCACCCACCCACCCCATAAATTCTGGGATTGGCTCACCTGCCCTTGGGCGTTCCTTAAGTGCAGAAGGAGGAAGTTGGCTTTCTCATAAAGCTGCTCAAGACGTACCAGGAGGCAGGTCGCATTCGTCGATCGCTGGGCAGCGGCGATGCCATCCATCAGTTTGATCAACACTTGGTGGATTTCCTGTGTTTTTACTTCATTCTGAAACAGAGCCAGTAATTCTGCCATTTATTTCAGTGCCTCTCAACCTCAGCAAATTTAAGAGGTATGGACTTCAACTCCCAGAATTCCCCAGCCAGCTTTGCTGGTTGTCAAACAGTTGTCAAACTGATTCATCTGAATATTATATGGCATGCGGCTTGTTTTACCAATGGATAGAAAACAGAATAAACTAAAAGGGATTAGACATATCAATAAAGTAATAAGAGGAATTAATGTAATAGATATACCAGATTGTATTTATATTATGTATATGGGAGTGTGATTACTGCTACGTTGTTAAGATGAATAAGAAGAATATTAATAATGGATAAGCAATTTGAAATATGTACCTAATCAACGCATGATTGAAATGGAATGGAATTTTTGTATATCATTTTTAAAAAAAAAATACAAAAAAGAGTTGTCAAACTGTGAGACATTGCTGTATTTACTGGGGACAGTGGGACCAAAACAGAGGGTTTTCTTAAAATCTAAGGGGTAAAACTGTCCTCATTTTAGCTGCAGTGCCATTCACCTCCTTATTTTATATTACAGCAGAATTTCAGCACCGCCACCCCCAAAATATCATCACTAATCCATATAAGCTATAGCCAAATGTCATGCTTCGCTACCACACTTGTTGTTAGTTCTCCAAGGCAGACCAGACTAGGAAACCAAAGGGATGCATGCTAATGTTACCTTTCTTATAAGTTATAAAGCTTGCGAGTCTGAATGCATCTTCACTCTCTCATCCTTTATGACGGGTCTCCAACCTTGGCAACTTTAAGACTTGTGGACTTCAACTCCCAGAGTTCCTCAGCCAGCAAAGCTGGCTGAGGAACTCTGAGAGTTGAAGTCCACAAGTCTTAAAGTTGCCACGCTTGGAGACCCCTGTTTTATGAGAACTGGGGAAGAGAAATTGTCTGAGATGCTTAGTCAGAATACCGTTCTATCCTGGACTCAGATTTCTTTTACCTGAAGGTTACCTTCATTAGACTTTTTCCTACTGTTCCTCAAGGTTATTTCTTCTTCCCATGACAGCTGTATCCATCTAACTCTGTTTCCCAACCTGGCAACTTTAAGATACGCGTGGACTTCAAATCCCAGAATTCCTCAGCCAGTGGTTTAGGTTGGAAACAACGGTCCACTTGGCCCAGACGGACAGAACCAGTGGTTTGAAAGAGGGATCAAAGAGGTCATCTATGTTAACACTGAACAGCCCTCTCTTAACTAATCAGTGGAAAGACTTGCTTTCAGAGGTTGTAAGTGCTCCAACACTGGAGGTTTTTAAGAAGAGATTGGACAACCATTTGTCTGAAATGATATATCCTGCTTGAGCAGGGGTTGGACTAGAAGACCTCCAAGGTCCCTTCCGGTTGTATTATTCTGTTATTAGGATATGATGCCACCTATCTCCTGTCTACAGCATGCAGTCCCCAAAAGGTTCCACAACCATTTGATTCAGGTGATTTTGAGGATGTAGATAAACCCCCAAGTGGCCTGAACAATTCTCAGAAAGAGTGCTAACAACCAGGTGACTGCAAAGGATATAAATCCTTCCATTCCCACCATCCAGTCAGAACTGAAGAAGCTTTTTGGATGAGAAGTGAAAATGTTTTCAAGGGGAAAAAAAAACCCGAAGAAAGTCAGTTGCTTTTTGGAAAAGTACCTTTGCGGCCCAGACAGTGAAGCCCAAAGAACCGTGACTTCCACACAGCCTACATACATACCGTCTTTGTTTTCCACACCCTGAGGTTCAACCCCACCAGGGGCAAATGTACGGGTTCCAGAAGCAAAGGAAGTTCTTCACATTGGCTCTGCAGAGACAGGACAAAAGCAGAAGAAAATCAACTCGAGGCTTAACTAAATTTCACTTCTGCCTTTCATTTACACCCCGTCCACGAAACAGAAACAGGAATATTCTTATTAGAAATGCAAATATTGTTATGGGGACTTTTTATTTGATTTATTTGATTTGTCAATCACTTACAAGATGATAGGTATAAGTATAAATAGGAGTAAGAATACAGGAAATAGGTACAAATAAATGGGGACAATAGGTCAGGGACGGTAGGCACGATTGTGCACTTATGCACGCCCCTTACTAAGTTGTACGATGAACGGTTATTGGAAGTAAGAATGTGTAGTCTAATGAAGAACTAGGAGTGACGTGATAGCAGTGCTCCAATATTTGAGGGGCTGTCACAGAGAAGAATGGGGGGGGGGGGGTGTCAACCTATTCTCCAAGGAACGTGAAGGCAGGACAAGAAATAACAGCTGGGAATTTTCTGCAGTGACAATCAATGGAACTGCTTGTCTCCAGAAGTTGTGAATGGTCCATCACCGAAAGTTTTTTAAGAAGAGATTGGACAACCAAAAGGTATAGAATAGAATAGAATTCTTTATTGGCCAAGTGTGACTGGACACCCAAGTAATTTGTTTTGGTGCATATGCTCTCAAAGATACATGCGTCAAGAATCATAGGTATAACACATAGAAGTAGTCATAGGGTACTATAAATCATACTAGGAAACATATAAAACATATAAATCATACCAGGAAACATAATAATAAGCTAGGGCCTATCAAATCATACTAGTAAACAGTCAATAAAATAATAAAAATAATTGTAAGGATACAAGCAACAAAGTTACGTTCATAAGTGGGAGGAGATGGGTGAAAGGAAGGATAAGAAGGTTAATAGTAATAGTAATGCAGACTTAGTAAATAATTGGACAGTGTTGTCAAGGGCTACTTCCTGAGTAGGGGGTTGGACTAGAAGACCTCTAAGGTCCCTTCCAACTCTGTTATTCTGTCCCCCAAAGCATCTGAAGCAGGCTAAGAAGGAGGAACTGGGTCCCTTCAAACTCAGCGCACGTTTGGACAGACTAACAGGTGCTTTCTCACCAACGTTTCCTCCATGTCCACAGCTTCAGCCACGTATTTCTGGATCAGTCGCCTGTCACATACGAGCTCCGTGGGCCACATCCCGGAGGGTCTCATCTGGAACAGGAATACAGTGAAGACCAGCAGCCCTGGAGGGGACAAATGAGACAGACCAGAGAAGGACTCACTAATGATCTCCTACTAGAGTTCGATGGTGGGCACTCTCACGAAATGGAAATGCTTGCCCGATCCCACAAAGAGCTAAAACGTACAAGTGCAAACAGTCACAAGCTTACATTGATTATTAGAAGACGAACCGTGATGACGGTTTCCCATCAACAGATGCTCTTTACTACAACGCCACCGACCTTTGTCTTATTTCCATTGTTCGTTTGTTTTGATGTGTTTTATTCTATTTTGTTTTCCGAGCCAGAAAGTATGCTTCCCAACCCAATTCAGGGTCACTTCCCCACTTTGCTGATCTTCTAGGAATGTGGGATGCCTCGGAAATTAAAGTGATGCTTCCAAACTTCCCACTTTTTTTACTTATAAAAATTCAATGAAGTGTAATATAAGCCTCTGACCATGTTTAAAGTATCATCTTAAAATAGCTTCATTCATGACTTCTAACAATGGAAGCTATCAACTCTCCATGGAATTTCCTTTCCAACCTTAAGCTACTCATCTTCCAGGTCATAGAGATATAAGGGATCGGAGCCTAGAAGGGTCTAAGGAGCGGCCTGGCAGGATCACATGAGGCCTGGTTAGACTAAGACAGTGTTTTTTCAACCTTGGCTACTTTAAGATGTGTGGACTTCAACTCCCAGAATTCCCCAGCCAGTAAGCTGGCTGGGGAATTCTGGGAATTGAAATCCACAAGTCTTAAAGTTGTCCATGGTTGAGAAAACTGGACTAAGGTTTGGGAATCCAACAAGGCAACGATAGGATGTACAGAGACCAAGAATAATTCCCACATTTCCTCTTAGTAAAAGAAATGCTGTAGTAAACTCCCCTTAGGGTCAAACTCAACTCCTGAGGATTGGGAGGGGAAGGAGCAGATTCATGTAGCTTTTCCTGCCATGCCACAGAAGAGATTTGGCATTACTTTAGTCTGAGGTTAGGCTTTCACTTTTCCTGTCTAGCCGATACCCCCGGGATCTCCTGGTGGTGCCCCGTCTACCCCACCCAATCATTTCTATTGCAGTTTTTGAGATCAGCCCAGGTTGTTATGGGTTGGACATCATGTTAAATGGTATATTCACAAGCAAAAGATCAGGAGTGAGAGGGAATTCCCCCCTCTTCCCCCATCAAGTGTGAACGTAAGGCCACAATCCTATATTTTAAATATAATACTATTTAATTTAGCTGGAATTCCGTTCTCGCACTTCAAACATCCGGTGTTAATTTTGCTGGTTGCTGAGTCTGGTGCATCTAGTTTCAAACCCAAAAGAGAGTGTTGGAAAAAATACCCTTCTGGGTTCAGTTCCAAGTGGGGAAAAAGACACTGGAAACATGGAGGCTGTTTTGGAAAGATGGTTTAATGGTGGACAGGACCACATGGCTTGGAGCTCCAGAGTGAAAGGGACGATCACACGCTTCAAGATGTTGGGTGAAGGAAAAGAAGGTCCAAGATGCTGAGAGACCCTTAGTTTTATACCCTCTGTTCCTGTGCAAGAATTGTATCCTATTGGCTGTCAAGACTCCCATGGGGCGGTGGGGGCGGGGGTCTTAGCTAACTATAAGCTTTGTCTGGACCACATGGCTTCACCTGAGTGTTGGCTGATGCAATCTTCCCGGACCAGGTGGTGAGATGGGTAGAGGACTTTGTAATGTAGAATACTCTGGCCCAGGCCGTAATGGCCTGCCCATTAACAAAGGTGGGAGGTATGCTTCTGCTTCTTAGGTGGGTTTCTGCTTCTGAGTTTCTACTTCTCTTTTAGGGGAAATATTCTGCCTTTTTAATATATCCTAAAATATTTCATTTTCCTAGGAGAGGGGTGGGTTTTAACTTCCAACAAGAGTTTGGTTTCCAATTATGTAATCCTTGTGGCTCTCCACTCAGCCTGGGATAATAGATACTGTAGTTTGGGGGGGTGCGGTGTTAGGCCACAAAAGTGCCCTTGATCATTCAGGGACTGGTCAAAAAAGTCAAGATGGCGGCCACAACAACACAATCGAAGCTCAGCCTGGTTTTCTCTGCAGGCAAGAAACAGGAAGAGCTTCTAATACAGGTAGTCCTTGACTTACAACCATTCGTTTAGAGTTCAAATTTGCAACGTCACTGAAAAAAAAGGGACTTACGGACGGTTTTCACCTTATGACCCTTGCAGCCTTGCCATGGTCATGTGATCAAAGTTCAGACGCCTGTCGATTGGCTCACATTTATCATGGTTGCAAAGTCCCGGGGTCATCGGATCCCCTTTTGCGACTATCTGAACAAGCCAAGCCAACGAGGAAGCCAGATTCACTTAACGACCGTGTTATTCATTTAACAACAGCAAGGACTCACTTAACATCTATGTCAAGGAAGGTCGTAAAATGGGGGTGGGGAGGGAAATTCACTCTCGCTTAGCAACAGAAATGTTGGTCTCAACTGTGGTTATATAAATAGAGGACTTGTATATCGTTGAGGCCTTCATCTTGACATCTTTTTTTTTTAACTACCCTCCCCAGAAACCCCTGCAAAGCAGTTGGACTTCAACTTCCATCATCCCCAGCTGATTATTAACAGGATCCCAAATTTGGCCAAGCTGAATGGCAGATTCCCAATTCTAACCCCGAACCTAATTATCTGGGTTCCAGATAGAACCCCTCCCCATTTGAAAACTTCCTATAAAGGGTTAACATCCAGTCTTGGGAGGAGGGGGAGGGTGGTCCTCCCCCCCCAGACCTCATCGTGGGTTGTTGCCAGAGGTGGCATTCAGCAGATTCTGACCAGTTCTGGAGAACCGGTAGCGGAAATTCTGAGTAGTTTGGAGAACCGGCAAATCCCACCTCTGACTGGCCCCGCCCCCATCTATTCTCCGCCTCCCATTGAGTCCCAGCTGATTGGCTGGGTCTTCTTTGGTTGCCCTGCACAGGAGAACAGAGCTGGAAAGCAGGTTAGTGGGTTGGGGAGGGAATGGGGATTTTGCAGTAACCTTCTCCTGGCACACCCACCAAGCCATGCCATGCCCACCAAGCCACGCCCACAGAACCGCTGGTAAAAAAAAAAAAATGAATCCCACCACTGGTTGTTGCCATCTAGCCTCAGCTCATATGCAGAGTGCCTTTGTCCTTGCATGCTCTATTTTCAGGACAGAGTCCATTCCAGCCCTGCCATTTGGACTCCTATCCTTCCCTCCCTCCTTAAATACATTGGGGTGTCAATCAAGGAGAATATTTGTAGCCCAGGGCTGAAAATTGAAGGGTCCTTGGCGCTCCCTGAGAATATTGGTGGCTTCCTTGCGCATCGTTCATTACCCCAAATAGGAAACGTCATCAGTGCCAGTTAAAATTCTTGCAACCAAACACCCAGGCTTTGAAAGCACCAAGGATCCCTGTTTTGGGGGTGCCCTACCCTGCCCCCTCCTGCCAGGCTGGCAACTCACGGTTCAGTTCCATGCCCCGCTGTCCATCTGGTCACTTCTTCGCTCTGCTGGGGGACAACAGCTGCTCTCCAGCTCCTTCCCGGCGTCCATTGAAAACGGCTTGACCACGCCACCCAGGGAAGGCTGCCGTGCTCCAGGGAGAGCCCAGAGGTTGCTGGCTTCTCTTGCCAGGGCCTCTGCTGCGCAATTCCAGCTTTCCAAAGTCAGGGTTGCGTCGCTTCCTGTTGTGTTGCTGCTACTGGTGGTGGTGACCTCTGGGCCAAGGCACTTAGAGAAGGGAACACGGCCGTCCGTCAGGAAAACTTCTCACTTCCAGATATTTCCGTCTTGGCTCAGAGCTGAAGGACGAGGCCGGCACAGGCTACAGAGCCACCATCCACAGGGATCGTGCAAACACGTTCCAGCCTCGGGCTTGGAGGCACCCCGTGCAGTCCCAGCCACCCATTTGGGGTGCCCAGCATTGACCCCATAGTCCTATATGGGAAATAGGTGTCACTGGTTCTGCAACCCAACAAGACAGAGACAGACTTAGGTAATTAGGACTGCAGAAAAAAACAAATTGCTACCAAACTGCCTTCCATCGAGGACCTGTATATTGGACGAGTCAAAAAGAGGGTTCTGAAAATATTTACAGACCCCTCACATCCTGGACACAAACTGTTTCAATTCCTTCCCTCAAAATGACGCTATAGAGCACTGCACAACAGAACAACTAGACACAAGGACAGTTTTTTTCCCGAATGCCATCACTCTGCTAAACAAATAATTCCCTCAACACTGTCCAACTATTTACTATTACTATTAATCTTCTCATCACTCCTTATCGCCTGTCCCCTCCCACTTGTGACTGTATAACTGTAACTTTGTTGCTTGTATTCTTACGATTTATATTGACTGTTTCCTAGTATGATTTGATTGCCTATTATACGCTATGACTATTATTAAGTGTTTTACCTGATGATTCTTGTCTCTTGATGAATGTCTCTTTTCTTTTAGGTACACTGGGAGCATTTGCACCAAGACAAATTCCTTCTGTGTCCAATCACACTTGGCCAATAAAGAATTCTATTCTATTCTATTCTATTCTATTCTATTCTATTCTATTCTATTCTAATCTCTATTCTATTCTATTCTATTCTATTCTATTCTAATCTCTATTCTAT